CCTGTTTTAACGATCACTGATGCAAGTTCCTTTCACAGAATGAACACAAATTAAATTTCAAAATATAATTATTAATGCAAAGTCATATAGTACAGTATAAATAGAACTAATTTAAATAATAAAACAGCTTAGTTTGGTCGGTCGACCTTCCAAATGAAACTATCAAGATATAACTATGAAAAATGGCATCATTCTTGTGTTCATACAGCAGGCAAAAATGTCGCCAATGTCACTCTTAACTTCTAAGAACCATTCGGATTCATCAGTTCAAATCGCACGCAAAGCGATTTTCCTCATTCGGAACGGTCTTTTTTGCAACTTGCCAAAGTTTCAAGTTCAACAAGTTACATTGATTTTAATTGAATAAGTCATCCACTTGATAAGTGAATGAATCAATTAATCGATATCATATTCATCAACTTAAAATTTCGGTTAGTCAACAAGTTTTCAAAAGTTTTGTCCTTAGTAAAAAAACCATGCACAAAGCGCTGCAAACTTTTTTCTAAAACAAATTCATAATTTTTCTGTAACTTCTTCCCATGCTTGCACAGCTTTATTAATATCATGTAAGTTCCCAAAAATCTTCGATTCTAAAATGAGGATCACTGTCAACAGACTTGCGGAAGACAGCTGATAGCAAAATTTCCGAAACCTTTTTCCACAGTTCCTTCAGGATAATTTAAGTAAATCCAAGTTTACGTAAGTCGGCTTTGTCTCCAATCATCATATGATCCATTGTTAACGAACTCTGCAGGTGTAAAATTGCAAACTGAAATATTTCTTCTGGCAAGATAAGAGTACGAGATCAGAAGTGGTAATCGACTGATCAAGGCAATAATGATAAAAGCCTGGAAAACTGAAAACATTTTAAAAAGAATTTCTAATGGATCCCTCGGACTGTAATAACTGAACAGGAAACATAGTGAATCGAATGTTTTCCCCAAGGCCAAATTTCACGGCATCCCGAGTTTCACCTTCCCCCTGTACTAGTTGCCTAGAGCCTACCTCTAATTTGGCGACCACTCCGTAGTACACGAGTAGCTGCGGATCGTTCTTTGTACGTAGACATAGTTCGTGCTGAGTGCGACGTGGCTTTAGAAGAGATAAAATGATGCTAAATAAGTCTGGCACTAGGTGCATAAACAACGTGGAGTCGTGGCCTTCGTAAATGCCACTAAGCAACCTGGAACGGTGAGTCAATGCAACAGATGATGTCGGGAAATCTGGTCTTGGAGGAGTCTTTCGTTATTTGACATACTAAGGTATACGAACGGCTCATGTTTGCGTTACCTATTAAAGAACAACAGAAGTGATATACTCACATTAGTACCTCACTAGCCAAACAGTATAACGCAGTTAATCACAGGAGATTTATGATCATCAACGCATGAACGAAATACTCCATCTTTGGCTACTGCAGAGTCGCTGCAAAGTAAGTAAATTTACACTATCGCGGTGTAAATCAGGCATCAGTGGCTAAAAAGAATACTATTTATTTCTGTACTAAACATAAGATCGAGTGCCGTATAAACATTCTCCCTGGATCGACTTAGTAAATTATTACTCTTTAGTCATTTCGATGTCATGTCAGTTCTAACGAGATCTTACGATCATGTTGGAGGTCTTCCTAGTCATCCCTCCTTGGAACAAAAAGCTTCGCGCGTACAGTAAACGTTTCACAAGACGGCCATCGTCCATTCGCTGGCAATAGCCTAAGTATCCTACAAGTACTGGCTACAGCTAGTCGGTGATTATAGTCGATCGAACGTTATAATCTATCTTTTACAACAGCATCAGATAGCCGGTCGAATCTGTTCACAATTAATTCTAATCTCAAAAATTTCACTCTGTCGCTTCGAGTCTAGTTTTCAGGCCTGCCAGCGTTATCGTGTCTAAACCGTAGAAGAACATGTTCAGAATACCAATCTCGTATATCGAAAGATTTGTGTGCTACTGTCAATGCACAGTGCCTAACTTCAACTTCGTGTGACACTTCTTCATGCGTCAGAAGACGATGCACTTCAAAGGTACCGATGTTCAGGTACCTTCTGCATAATTTATGTTACACGTCAGAGGTGTTTGATGTGTATTCTGCGAACATTCGTCCATTTCGTTTTCTTCAAGTTAATCACGAGGCTCAAATCGAAACAAAATTAGTTGTGATCAGAGTTTCAAGAACAGTGACGTCACATCTTCGACGTCGTATGGTGACAATACGATATCAGTGCACTACTAAAAGCTCTAAATCGAACGATTTTCCACACAGAAACAGAAACACAGGTAGGAGAAAATCGATCTTTCCGTTATACAAACGTCACTTTCTGTATAAAAACACAATAATGAATTCTCTGAATTTACTTTTAGACTATTTAACCTGATGAGCAATGACCACAAGCCTACGTTCATCGCAAAGCAAGGGCACAAAAACTTGCATGATCTCTTCTTGATACATAACCGCACCCGGCGAAATAATTATTAAAATTAAATAATTTAAATTTTCAGTTTATAAACAGCCACAACAGGTCAGCAGCTGCTTAAAATTCTCGTCTTTATCAGTATTAGAGATTTCAATCCGTATGGGATGCGCCATAACGCTTTTGTTTATGGTAGCTACATGTTTACGGACAGGTGGAAGCCAGGTGCCTTTTAGATAGCTTTTAAATTAAAAGTTTATTT